CTTGGCACAACCTTAACCTTCAGGCCTCAGGGTTTCATCCATAGGAGGAGGGGTTCAGCGGAGCCCACACCCCAGGGTCACATGAGCATCAAATGTGTCAGTATACACAGAGCTCTGAGGTGTGCCTGGTTCAGAGGGTGAATTAGGCAGGTATTTGCACGGTTATCAATGGTAGCATTGCTACGATAACATTATGTTTATAATATGTTTATATATACATATATATGCACTTGTGTGTATTGTTCTACAATGCTGTGTTATACAGCAATGCTCTAATATATAAATATTGTTGCTGGAGGAGAAGGAATGTGCAGTTACCCAAGACTTAACTCCTCTGCTCTCCACATGTCCCTGAATTGGGAATTACTGGATTAGAGATTGCCTGTGTAAAATGAGAGGAGAAGGGACCCTTGTTTTCCTGCCAGCAAAGGGCTCAGTGAGTAGCCCTGTCCTTGACCTTTGCAGATGTGGCAGCAGTCAGTGGATTAGTCCTGGGATGGAAATCGTTACAACTGCCTATTATTCACTTGACTTTGTTTATTTCACATTAATGTATGTTTGAGCTTCCGCCAGGCCATTTGCTGTCAGTAGTAGCAAACTGTAGATGTGTTCATAGAGATCGATAGCTGCTTTTCTTCAGATGTTCCACAAGCATGAGTAGTAGAAGCGTAGCTGATAATTTAGAGGCTGGAAGTGAAGCGACTAGTAAACAGTGGTGCAAACTATCTGATGGAAGCCATTCACCCTCAAGCGCATCCCTTATGAGGCACATGCTGAGGCTGATGTGTACCTTCCTCTCTCATTATCTTTAACTCTGGTCTTTGTCCCTTCGCTGTCATTGCAGAATTGACCACACATAGCTACGTACCCCCTTCCTTCTCTCAGTATAAGGACCACCTCTGTACAGTCCTGAAAATTTCTGGTATTATCCCTCCAGTACTTCACACTCCTGTGTGACGCACAGCGGTGTAATTATGAGTCACAGCTTCATTGTGGGGTTGAACCTGGAAGGTGGCTGGTGGGTCTATAGCTCTTTCAGCCAGTATTTAATTAACTGTTTTTGATTATGAAAGGAACTGTTTTTGAAATCCCCAGGAATTCTGCTTATTGGGATAATTTTTTCACTTTCTCACCTAGTTTATCTGCTTGGATGTTTTAGTTTTTAGGAAAGTGTTGAAACAAAAATCTGTCTTGGTTAATAACTAAGGGAATGCAAATTGAAATAACAGTGAGGAATGGCACTTCACTCATCAAATCGGGAACAGCGTTAAGGTCAAAGATCAGCGTTGGTACAAGGGCACAGACACAGGTGCTGCTGACAGGCAACTGGGCACAGGGTGTGAGGCCAGCCTGGGCTTGCTGCCCGGGTCTGCCCCTCAGCTGTGGGAATGCACACCTCTCTCACTCCCCTCCTGCCTGTAAACAGGGGGACAGCGTGTCCCTCTCACAAAGTCACTGTTAACAACAGACAAGTTAACGTACCTAAAATGCTGAGAACAGCATACTGCATGTAACCAGTGCTATGTATATGTCTAATCAATGAAGAAGTAATGCATGCTGTTGGTGGGGATGCAGTGATACAGTCTTTTTGGAAGGTATCTAGACCTTACTAAAATTTTGTGTACTTTTTTTATTATTTCTTTCCCTTTCTAATGATGTATCTTACAGAAATATTTCCAGCTGTATAAAAATAAAGTGGGATAAAGTAAGTGATCATATATTCATATTACTGACCACCATTGCACAATTAAGAGAGGTCAGTCAATTGTGTCTGCAGTTTACATACTACGCATGGTCATACGTTACCATGCACACATGCACACATGCATATTCACGTGGGAAGATCTGCGAGGTATATTTATTTAGTTGAAAAGCAGGTTGCAGAAGAATATACATACTGAAGTCCTGTTTCTCTCTGAATATAAATGTATTTGTGTGCACACATATATTTTTATATGAAAGTGCATATTAAAGAAGCTGGAACTCCACACGCTGAGCTGTTGATGGTGGCTGCCTATGGGTGGGGGAGAGGGTAAGCTAGAGCTCTCACCTTTTTTTGCTGTGTGTCCTTACACAGTGTTGGACTTGCCCATACAAGGATGTGTTCACATCATTTTTTTTTAAGATTTCCTAAAAAGAAAACTTCACAGTGAACTAAAAGGTGCTCAATCTTCTAGGCCAGAGGCTGGGAAGGAACGCAGGAGAGTCCAGCTCAGGGCACAGGTCTGGATCCCCCACGCCCACCACTCACTCGCAACTGGGCTAATTGCGCCTTAGTTTTCTGATTCATGACGTGGGGGGAGAGTGATGCCTGTGTATGTTTGTGCACTAGGCGATTAACTCTGTGTGAGGCCTCAGGACAATTGGGGATACAGAAGTGTCAACTGAGCAAAACTTGTATCACCAGACAGGAGGTGTGGTGGGCTGGCAGGTCTTGCAGAAGAGGCCAGCGGACAGCACTGGGACTGGGTTGTCTGTGGCGAGGCAGGTGATGTTGCTACATGCTGAGTCTAGGAATTCACATGCTTCTGGTCTACCTTTTTGCAAATCTGCCAGGACATGAGCCAGGGGCTGAGCTATCTGTGACCAGCAGGGACTCTGTTCAGTATAAATTCAGAGTCAGGGATCGAAGCAATGTAAGATCAGCGTCACTGCTTGACATTTTCAAGTGTGGGTACTCAATCTTTCATAATTATCATTTTATTGACCTGATTGAAAATTTCCTTTAACAAACACAGCTCATAATTTAAGGTGTTTATTATATTTTGGAATCTTGTTTCTCATTCACTATTAAACATAGAAAAGCAGGTCTCGTAACTAAGACAACACACTGCACATTGTTGGATCTTAAAAAGAACAAACCCTTCCCTTCTGGCTGCTTGGTTACCACACACTGGTGTTCTCGAATCTTCCATCCTCGGGCTGTGCCGTAGCACATACAGCCAGCATTTTGCTTTTGCGTGGCTTTATAATGCAGCATATTAGTTTCCCAGGACTGTGTGTGTTTAACCAGGAATCCATTCGCTCACAGTTCTAGAGTCTAAAAGGCTGGACTCGGGGTGTCCGCAGGTCGACCGACCCCTTCTGGGGGCTCCGAGGCAGAATGTGTTCCTGGCCTGTCTCCAGATTCTGGGAGTCCTTGCCGTCCCGTGGCTTGTACGGGTCACCCCAGTCTCAGTCGCTGTCATCACAGGGCCTTCCCCTGTGTCTTTGTTTCTTCTTTTCTCTCCTTGTAGAACACCGGCCATTGGGTTGAGGGCCCAGCACCCTACTCCAGGATGACCTCGTCTAAACCAATTATAGCTCCAAAGCCCCTATTTCCCAATAAGGTCACATTCAAAGTTTCAGGGGTTAGAACATGGACATATCTTTTTGGGGACACAATTCAACCCACGACAGGTACTGAGGCTTATGAATTCTGGCTCTCACCTGGATCTTTGCCAGGTACAGTCGCAGGTGAGGAAGTCCTGATATCTGGGGGCTCCTCTCTTTCGTTTCAAGGTTCCGATGTGTTGGGGTCTTTGGAAAAAGGGGAACAATACAGATTCCTGTGTTCTGAGCTCATCGTTTCCACACAGCTTTCGTGGGTTATTATCCGGGCAGACTCTCTTTGTTAGGGTGGCCTTGTCCTTTTTCATTGCTACAGCATAATTCTATTTCCAGGGTCTTTTATGCTTCTTTTTTTGTTGAGATATAACTAGCACATAACATATACTTCTTTTTAGAATACTCTAGTTACTTAATTCAAATGAGACCTCCTTTCACAAATTTTAACTTTCATGTTTCCCCATTTATGTTTCTAGGTTCATGATATTTGGAAGCCAAATAACAAACTTCTATTTTTATAGTCCAGCCTTTAGATCTTAAAACTGCACTGAACATTTGTAGATGGAAAATTCCAGAAATAATGTGGTGTTTTTCTAGACTGTGCTCTCACTTTGCTCCCGTGGAAGAATGTTTAGTTTGTAGGAATAAAGCCCATGATCTTGGAAACACTCATTTGTTTCCTGATTCAGTCAGACACTTACTGCAGACACTGCCGCAGCGGTGAGGGCACAGCCGTGACCAGGAAGTTGAGACGGGCACAGGAGGCCTGGCACAGGCAGTCAGACGGCCCGCTCTGTGGAGGTGGGAGCTGGCAGCAGGTGCATATTTGAGCTGCCCCAGAAGACAGTGAGGAGGGAAGTCAGGTAGACATCAGTGAAAAGAACTTCTAGATAGAGGCCAACACAAGTGCAGAAGCCCCCAGATGGGGGCAGGCTGGGCACTGGACAACAGTGAGAGTGGAGATGAGGCCAGGAGGGGTAGGGGTGAACCATGGAGGCCCCAGGCCATGGAGAAGATGGACCATGGGTACAATGAAACTGTACTCTATCGAAAACCCCGTGTCCCATGGCCATAAAGCATATTACAGCATGTCTGTCATCCGAACAGCGCCCCTGAGGAACTTCCCATCTGGAACGGCATAGCATCAGCCTCATTTTAGACTCTCACACATACAGTTGCTCTTGAGCCTACACCATGCACATCTGAACTTGAGTCTGGATAAGCATGATCTCCATCATCTATATTCCATGCTGTCATCATGTTTTTAGAATCATTGCTTTCCCTTTTTAACCATTTCCCAAACTGGAGAATGTAATCTTGCAGAGATAGGGGGTGGAGAGAGAGAACTGAACCAGTTAGTCTATGGGTGTGTGTGTGTGTGTGTGTGTGTGTGTGTGCGCGCGTGTAGTGGGAGGGGGAAGGTACTAAAAGAACACTGCAATGTCTTCACTTTTCTGAGGTGTTTTTAAAATTTTCTGGAAACCCAGAGGAAGAATTAGTGGACACTAACATACCAAAACCAGGGCCCGGGACAAGCCGAGAACCCAAGATGTGTGGCAGCCTTCAGGAGTCTGGTGGGACCCAGAGGTGGCTGACTTCGCCTTCCGTGGTGGGCACCTGTGCTCACATGCTTATCTGTGCTTCTGCATATTTAAACAAAACTGCTCTTACAGGCCCACAGATGACAGCAACCAGCCCCCGGGCCGGGGCGTCCTCTCCATGCACGGGCTGACTTACGGGGTCATCCGGGTGGACTCGGAAGAAAAGCTGTCTGTGCTCACTGTACAGGACGTTGGCCTGGTGATGCCTGGAGGTGAGTGTCGGCCCGGGGCCACAGACAGTGCAGGAGCTCAGTCAGAGCCCCAGCTGCAGCTGGTGGACGGGTCAGATATCAAATGCTGCCCTAACAGCATCACTGGCCCCTCTGGCAGGAGATCTCTGAATAATGCCTAGCTCCAATCTCCTCACATGTTTGTTAAGCTTCATGGTTGGCAGTAGCTGCCCCTCCTGGTGACAGGAAACCCACAATTTTCAAGAAGCTAAGGAAAGGCTTCTACACGGCCTTGTGCATTGGAACCTGGTGTCCACTTCCCCTGGGGTTAGTGGGGCTTCTCTGTGCCTCCAGCAGCACCTGGTGGCTTCTCCTCTGAGGGTCAGGTTCTCACTGGTCATCCTGATGCACCCACCACACAGGGCTGGGTGCTGGCTCGGCTTGTAAGTAGACCTGTGAAAACTGAGGAATGGGGGTCTGAATATTCAGTGAAGCTTGTTTTAGCAGTAGGGCCCTTTTTAAAAGTCACAGAAACCATTACCACCAATGAGCAGAGAGGAGCCCTGGTTGAAGGGCTCACCCTGCAGGACCCCATGTGCCCCCCCACCCCCCACTCCCGGCCCTGTGCTTGGGTGTCTCTTGTGACCTCATGGGGCTCTAGGACATGCAGGGAGACTGTCTGTGCTGGAAGGAGAGGGGAGCCCATTCTCTGATTTGCATGCCTTTACCTGGCCCTGCTTCTGCTCACGTGTCCCCTCTCTCAGGGCCTTTGTGAACGCTTAGCCCCTGCAGTGGAGCCTGCTCCCTTTTCAGCATCAGGTTCCACTTGGAATGTGGACCTTTTCCTCCTGATGAGCCCTCTGTGCACAGGAGTGTGGTCTCACCTCACAAGGGGACAGTCACGTCCACACACAGCACAGCCCCGCAGACACGCACGTGCATGGCACTGGCGGGAAAGGCACAGCTCCCGCACCACCAGCACGTGCTGCAAGACGAGCGCACACGTATGAGTGCTGTGGGCATGAGGCCCGTGCAGACCCTCCTGGGAGCGTCCGCTTGCCTGTCCATAGAGAGTATGTCACCTTGTACCCCTGGTGTCACAGAAACTTTGCTTCAGTCCTCAAACCCTCCACATGCTGTATGTCTCAGGCCCACTGCACACTTTCAGCCTTAGTCAGGCCTCCTGGCTCCTCTTCTTTAAAAAGTTTTTTCAAATGAATAATAGAAATAGATTGTTTCCCATGGTCTTAGCCTCAAAAGCTTGTTTGTACAGTGAAAAAACTTTCTGGCAATAATGCTAGAATTCCTTTCAGAAATGCTCTGGGGCTGTAGGGACACACACAATGACATGCACAAACATACTTGTTTTTTCTGTTTTTCTTTTAATTAATTTTTTATTTTTAGAAGGGAAGAGAGGGAGAAAGAGTGGGAGAGAAATATAAATGTGTGGTTGCCTCTCACAAGCCCCCTGCTGGACACCTGGCCCACAACCTAGGCATGTGCCCTGACTGGGAATCAAACTGGCGACCCTTTGGTTCTCAGGCCAGCGCTCAATCCACTGGACCACGACAGCCAGGGCTCTTTTTTTTTTTTTTCCTATGTCATGTAATGAGAGAGGACTCTTGGTTTTTCCTCTGTTCACTGTCACATGATGTAGGGCGGTTCATGCCTGCCTTGCATCTTAGAGCTTGTTTGCAGTGTGTGAAGGGCTCTCCTTCCTTTCTGTGCACTGTGGAGTGCACAGTGATTGTCCGTCTTGTGCTACTGAATAGCAATGCTGGGAATAACTCCTCTGTGCTTCATCTGTACAGGCATGAGGATGACTGAATGGAAAAGTTCTAGAAATTGGATTTGTTTCTAGGGTAGATGCCCACAAAACTGATGATAATGTGTCCTTTGGAAAACTGTAAAGATTAATATCCTACAACTAGTAAGGGATGACCCTCCCTCTTCACTCCTTCCTGCCCGGTGTGTGACAGATTTTTAAAATTTTTATGTGGTGGGTGAAGAATATTTTGGTATAATTTTATTCTGAATTTCTCTCCCCATGAGTGAGCAGTACATCTCCTGTGTTTTGCTGGCTCTGTTTCTGAGATGCGGTGTTCCTGTTACTTTTACTCCGACCCAGGGTGACGGGGTCAGCCTCTTTCTGGTCAGCTCAGCCGTCACTGACAGACACCCCACCTCGCTGACCTGCCAGCTCCCTAACCAGACCCATGGTCTGTGGTGGCCAGTGTGGGGTGCACTTGTGACAGCTTTGGGCGTGTGTGCCACAGATGAGGAAAGCTTAGCATCGTTGAATTACATGCTGAAAACGGTCAACTGTGAAGCTCTCAGCCGATATTCTCCAAAGGGCCCCGCTTGGCAGAGAATCTGAGGTCAAAGGGAATCCACTGTATCCACAGGAAGCTGGAGGCCTCCTACCCAGAGGAGCTTGACAGACTGTAGGGCAAGTGTCTTGTGCTTCTCATTGGACGAAGCTGAAGTTGCATCTTGGAGGCTGCATGTGTGTTGTTGATGGTGTGGTTGTAGCCAGTGACCCTTAGGCTCACTCATGTCTATGGCAGAAAGGACTACTCCTCTTACATATAATTTACACATTAAAATTAAAGCAATTGGAATGATCTGAAGCTACAATTGTGAAATTGGACATTTTGCTGTAACATGAAAAGTCACGACTCACTTCAGGGAAAATGGCTGCCTAGCTCGTCACCTCCCTGACACACTTGCAGCTTTGTTCCTGCTGCCGTTTCTTTCCATTTACGTTTCCCTTTGTGTTCATCTCTCTCTCTGTCTCCATCCCCATGTATTTCCCTCTCTGTAACCGTCTCTCTTATGCCTCTGTGCCTCCCTCTTATGTTTCCTGCGCTCTGTGTTCCACATTCAGCCATCATGTGCTCCGTGAAGCCAGACGGGATCCCTCAGCTGTGCAGAACCGATGAAATCGGGGAGCTCTGCGTGTGCGCGATTGCTACGGGCACATCCTATTACGGCCTCTCCGGCATGACCAAGAACACCTTCGAGGTAGGTCTGGGAGGTGAGCGGCATGCCAGCAGCACAGCTGTGAAAGATAAAATGGCAGTTTCTCAAAAAAAATTTCTTACAGCCATTAAAGTGGTCATTTCTTACAGTCATTACAGTCAAAAAATTTCTTACAGTCATGTTTCTCTGGCCATTTTTATAGTTTTCAATAAATTGAGCTTATATTGTTTTCACTTTGTAACCAGTGTTGAAGAAGGGCAAATAACAGTTTCTTTAAAATGGGTCTTTTCAATATATTGCTGTTCTCCCCTTGCCTGTGTATTAAGCACCCCAGGGACAGTGGGTAGGTGAAGAAACATGAGCATGCGGGCATGGCCTCGCTGTTGGGGCGGCCAAGAGCCCCCTTTTTGGCCTGTCAGTCTAGGCCACACTTGGGCAGGCAGGAACAGGTAAATAACTGTCTCCACAGCATAAACAGGCAGGTGTATGTGATTATGCTGTGTGTGCACACACATATGTGATATGTGCAGTGTGTGCACACATATGTGGTATGAGCACATGCCCACACACACGTGGCCTTGGGAGTGAGAGGTTGAAGGATACACTCAGCATTCCAGGAGCTCAGCTGCTCCCCAGCGTTCTCAGAGCTCCTGCCATTGGCCATGTGATGCCAACCCCAGGAGGAGCGCACGTTTGATTAAGTTGTGCAGAGGGAAGCCTGAGTTGTTTGGGGATAAGTTTCTTAATGTTTAGAACTGTTGTTGTTGAATACAGATTCATGTTTTCAAGACACATCTAAATAAAATCCCCATCTCCTTTTCTGTTCGACTCACCTGCCAGGTTTGAAGAAAACAGATGTAGAGGCTGAGTACGTGATTTGCTTCATTCATATCTTTTTCTAAGTGTAGTTCCAATAAGGAAAAACACTCTAATGAATAGGGCTCATTTCACAACTAAAAGGTGTTATTTAAAATGCACCTTGATTCTCTATTTATCACGTCTATACTGTGGCTTTATACACAGAATTGATTAGTGTTTATTAGACCATTGTCATGACCTCTGCATACCACCTCTTAAGAGGCTTAGAAGCTGCGGAAAGGAACCTGTGGGGCTCTGCGTATAGACTAGTGGGGCCAAATTGGAAGGTGCTCGGTGCGGGGAGGTACCTTCCAGGTTTGTGGTGTCTGCTGACAGCAGCTGCCTGGGCTGGCTTCCTCAGCCAGGGTTCAGGTTAGGAGACACGGCTGGGGAGAAGCAGTCTCAGCGGGCTCCAAGGAGGAGGGAGGAAGACAGGTATTGCTGGCACTCACAGCCCGTGCTTCCCCAGGTATTCCCTGTGACGAGCTCAGGGGCCCCAGTCAGCGAGTACCCCTTCGTGAGGACAGGTCTACTGGGCTTCGTTGGCCCCGGAGGGCTCGTCTTTGTGGTGGGCAAGATGGATGGGCTTATGGTGGTCAGTGGACGCAGACATAACGCCGACGACATCGTGGCCACAGCGCTGGCCGTGGAGCCCATGAAGTTTGTCTACAGGGGAAGGTGAGTGCACCCTCTGTGAATTAAGCACACAGTTTTCTGTGGATTATACTTTTATATAAAATGGCATAAATTCCTTAAACTGATGGGGTTCAGTTTACTTTTGTGTAAAATGAAGCAACTGGACTCACTGACTTTTGTGAGGCCATCTAGTTCTGAATGTCCAATTTTACAGAAATTTCCTGAGTCCATAAATATATATTTATTAACTTTCCCTCTAAGTTAAATGAAAATATCCATTTGAGGAATTTATTTTTAATATAAAAACAATTCAAAGAGTCAAATATTCATCTTGGAGCAAACCCCTTCAAAAAACCCAAAGATAACAGATGAGCAACAAATGTGCACAGGCAACTAGCTCTCACAACTTTCCACCCCCGATCGTACCCCTGCCTTGTTTGGAATGGGGTAAATATTAGCGATTACAGCCCCTGCGTTTTCTGCTAATTTGAAGAAAGCCATAAACTGCTTTAGAACCTTTTGTTGCAAGCTGACAGAGTGGGAGAGAAAGGTAACTTGGATGAGGCATTTCCATCTGTGAATTATTCTTAACCACGGCCTCCGTGAAAAGAGCACTGGGTGTCCAGGTCGCCACAGTCCAGTGCTTACATGGGAGGCTGACATATCTAGTAGAAAACTGTTACTTCACAAATGCAAAACTTCTACTCATTTGGAGGATATTCCTCCGCAGGTGCAAACTCAGGATGTGAGTGGAGTGGTTTTCTAAATTCCAACAGTCCTGATAGTTGCACCAAACTCCTCCCATTGGTGCTGAGAGGTAGGGAAGTTGTCATCAGGCTCGACCTCTCAGAGCTGCGTTTACTAAGAAAAATGCACAGGATTCTGTTGCTATGGTCAGTCATTGGTGCTGCGATCCCCTGAACCAACAACCAGTAACTGTAAAGCTCCTTATTGCAGACTGGTCCTCCTGCAAGCATCTCTAGCGTGTGCTCACTGTGCCTTCCCTCTGTCCCTGCAGAATAGCTGTGTTCTCAGTGACTGTCCTGCACGATGAGAGGATAGTGATCGTGGCTGAGCAGCGGCCCGACTCCACGGAGGAGGACAGCTTCCAGTGGATGAGCCGGGTGCTCCAGGTAGCCCTTTTCCTGCCCTGGAGCTCCACCCTTCTCCCAAAATGGCTCGAGGCAGCTGTGTAGCATTTGTTAGGATGTGGCCAACCCTCATGAACTGTGCTTCTGCCCCTGATCGTCACTCCATTTGATCAGAAATTGCATCTACCCCGAAACTTAGATTTGCATTCCAGGAAAGTAGCTGTTAGACTGAGGTCAGTGATCAGGGGTTTGTAAAACTGGCTTCTGCTTGCTGTTCATGTGGGGAGCAAGCATAGATCTTGAGAGTGTATTTTCTTTTCTCCAAACTTCCCTTCTTAGTGTGCATGGTAGCCCACAATTCCTCTGTGATGGTTCAGCCTGATGAGGCTTGGCAAGGCAGCCCCCCTCTTCCCAGGAACCTTCCCACAGGCCACACCGCTGTGCTGCTCGTGCTCCCTGTGCTGTGAACAGTATTTTGCATAGTCTGCACATGTGCTTGATATCTCTTCACAGTACCTGTTCTAACACAGTCCCCTCCTGTGACTTCTAGGCGATCGACAGCATCCATCAAGTTGGGGTTTATTGTCTGGCCTTGGTTCCTGCAAACACCCTCCCCAAGACTCCACTTGGTGGGATCCATTTGTCAGAAACGAAGCAGCTTTTTCTGGAGGGCTCGCTTCACCCCTGCAATGTCCTGATGTGCCCTCACACTTGTGTCACAAACCTGCCTAAACCTCGACAAAAACAGCCAGGTATGTCCAACGGCCGGCTGGGAGGGTTTGTGCAGAGTCTCAATGCGCCTCTGCAGTCAGTGGTGCTGGTGCCGCACTCACCAGGCCTCACGAACGGAGGCAATTCTTGGCCATTCTCCCCCACTCTGAGTCTCCACTCCCACAGGAGTGGAGCTGCTCGCTGCAAGCGGTGTTTTCTACCAGAGGGTAGGGCAGACACGGGGCGCTCCAGGCCAGTGGACTCTGCTCAGAGCAGGCATGTGCAGGACCTCTGGAGGGAAGGAGGTGCTAGTGTCCTGACCGTCCTTAACTGGGAGTCAGAACTCCATCTGCTGGTGGCTTCGGTGAGGCTTCTCCAGGTCACAGTTTCTTTGCACACAAGTGAGAATAATGCTTCCTTACGTGTTTTGTGAGTTAATTTAGGGGTCAAAGCTGCTAACACGGAAAGCACTTCGAAGCCTGTCAAGAGTCTACAAACCTGTTGGTGATGTCCTAAGAGTGAACATTTGCCTGGTGCCCCACAACTGCGGGGGGACACATGATTATTTGTCATCTGACTTGCTTCTCCGGGAAACAAAATTGATCGCCCTCTTCAGGGCTGCATAGTTATTAGTGAAAGGGAATTTATCTCAAGTGTGCATCACAGGGAAGCAAATCTGCTGGTGGAGTCAGAAGGTCCCGGCCTCCAGGCTGGGAAATGCACACAGACGTCAGAGGACGAGAGCTCTGGCTGGGCTGATGGGGCGTGTAGCGTGTTGCACATATTAACTCCATCTCTCAGAGCACCAAGAGGTGGCGCTCTCTTGTCTTCTTTCACAAATGAGGAAAGAATGTGGGTGTATGCACCACCCACAGCTGCGGGGCCAGAGTGTGCTGGAGACAGACCTAGACCCAATGGCCATTTGCTCCACCCTGTAGAGTGGCCATGGGGGCAGAGTTTTTGGTGAAGCAGCTACAGGTAGTGGGGTCATCACAGGGCGCACACCCTGTGGTAAATGTGGGGACCATCTGCCCCCGAGGCTCACTTTCCGAGCGTGAGACCAGATGAGGTGGCTGGGGCAGGACATGGTTGCCAGGGGAGAAAAGTGGTTTTCTCATGAGTTGAAAGGTGTCAGAACTTGAATCCAGGTCTGTGACTCTGTGTCCCTCTGCCGCTTGCTATTACTGTCCCTACAGCACAAAGATGTCTGTATAGCGGTCAGAACGCAGCTTCCACATTGTGGCATTTTGTTCTCTCCTAGTATGAGGTAATTCTCTTCAACAGCCTAGAAAGTCAGCTTTTTGATTTCTAAGCCCATCAGGTTTGCAGTCATCACTGTTCTTGTGTTTTTGCTCTACTTCCATCTTGTTAATTATTTTCTTGTATTCTAGATTTCCTTAACTAATATTCCTCCCTGTTTTTTTTTCCTTTTTTCTCTCAATCTCTGATTTATAAGATTACTATAGTAAAATGTAGAGTGGCACTGACCAAAGTATTCATTCTTTAAATTCTGTGGGCTCCCTGGCTTTAAGTGGGGGGTCTCTGAAAACAAAGCATCACCCTTTGGTGAGCATAACCACAGGACGGCAGGTCACTCTTTTGTCTCCTGTTGTCTGAGGGCATGGGCTGTGCTGGGGATGCTCTTTCTGGTCATGGTTGTCTTCTGTGGGGGGAGTCAGAACTCCCCAGGGTTCTCATGCACTCTGGGGTGACTGGTGCATCTCTGCCCTGATCACCTTCACTCATCAGCAGACATCCTCGACCTAGTGTCCCCTGGTGCACAGGCGTGGAGCACGTCACAGAGTCCTGCAGGTCAGCAGTGTGACAGCAGAATTCAGGACTGATATCTGTGGATGGGGGTGATTTGCAAATGTGTATGATTCCAGAGGGACAGGGCACAGCTCACCTGCCAGATGTCAAAGAATGCTAAAGGAGAAACGTGGCCAGGGGGAAAAACCAGGGTGCTCCGCACTGAGAACAGTGGGAGGGGCCTTCTTCCTCAAGGGGGAGTGAAGGAAAGGTGACTAGCGAGATTTGGGACCACTTTAACACTGCAGTGTGGTACATGGAGCTTATTGATGTTTTATGTCCTATCTGTTCTTGTTCAATATTGAGAGGTTATTAATTCTGCATCTTCAAAAAGTTATTTTTAAACAAACACGAAATGGCAGCTGTGAGGTGCCGGTTGTTGTCCCTACCTTAACATATGTCCTGTGATGTCCCTTAGGTGACATTTTACTGAGGACTCAGTTTCCATGAATGCAGGGAGGGAAATGGATAAAGTAATTTCTATGGCCTCCTTGAAATAAACATTTATGACTCCAAACAAGTGCCTAGCAGCCAAAGAGAACATTTTGTGAGGCCATTTATTCATAAGGATTTTGCTAGATTCTTGAAACAGAGCCCCTGAAGTTTAAATCATTTGTAGACACCCCAGTTGCTTTTTAACTGAATGAATGTATATTTACTCAGCTAACAACATTGTCACTGTGAGAGTTTCTTAATTGGCTTAAACAATTAAGACCTTAAGAGCACAAAACTGTTAAAAGACCTTTAACCCATCAGTTGGGCTAACAACAAAATTATAAAAGCATCTCCCAGTTTTAATGTTCCCTCGATATATCCCATCAGAGCAGCTGGAGGAAACCTGAGGAATGTGCACAAGAGTACAGCCCCTCCAGGAGGAGAAACGCTGTTCTCACATACACTCGCCTCTGTCCCTGCCCAAACCGCTCAAGTATTGGAGGGCGGGAATTTGACAACACTGAGATGAAGTTGCTGGCTTGTGCATTTGTAAATCTGTGAATGGGAGCATGGGAAGAGACAGCAAAGGTGAATTTAATACATAGTTTGGGTTTACTTCAACCTTGTATTTTCACATTCTGAGGGGTGAGGACTGCAGGAGTCTTTTGCATACATCCCCTTAAGTCAACAAGGGAGACAGCCTCCATTCTCCAGAAGGGTGGATTTGGTAAATGAAAGCAGCAGGAAAGCTGCCTGTCTTCCTGCAACATTAGGGACGTATAAACTTTTACGACTGTGTAGGGAGAGACGCATAAGATCCAAGCGTTGCAGCCAGAGAATGCTGACAGAAATACCTTCTTAGTGAGGTGAGACTGGACTCAGACACAGAGAAACAGAAAATAAGCCACCTTGAAAATGTAATATCCCCTCAAAACAGTGCTTCTCCTACCATAGTTTGGATTCTTTAAAAAAAAAAATACGGGGAAGCCTTCAAAGCAGGTTAGGCCAGTTTCCGAGCTGGCTTCAAAGAACTGTCCTGCCCGGTCTCAGCAGAGGAGAACATGGGATGCTTTGTGGCGGGTCCTAAAGGTAGGGAACCAATGGCGGATGAGCAAGGCTGTAGACGAGGGCAACTGTCTCCGGGCAGCAGCTACCTCGCTCCAACCACACAGCAGTGTGATTTCTTTCAACACACACCACATTCCCTAGTTTTCTGTTTCATAGTTTCTACCTTAAGAGCTAAGAAAAGAAATTTAGTCATCCCAAACTACCACACATGAACATTCAAACATGCTTTAGCTGAGTATATAGGGCATGTTCTATGACTGCATAGAAACCAGCATCGAGGCTCCTATAGATGGCTAAACCCAAAGGCACCAGCACAGAAACCTGCGTCGTGGGCTGTCCTCCACAGTGCAGCCCGGCCTTGAAGTGCCCAGTGGCCCCCGCACAGCTGTGGGAAGATGGCTGTCTGACGACAAACCAAATTCTAGACAGCTATGTGTCTGCAGAGAAGAGTGGGTGGCCTGTTCCCACTTGGACAGTCACCTGAAAGGTATTAGGTGCCCTGACTGTCATGGCTCAGTGGGTTGGGTGTCAGCCAGCAAACAAAAAGGTCTCTGGTTCGATTCTGGGTCAGGGCACATGCCTGGGTGGCAATCCATCGATGTTTCTCTCACACATGAGTACTTTTCTCCTCCTTTCTCCCTTCCTTACTCTCTCTCTAAAAACAAATAAAACCTTTTAAAAAAAGATATTAGGTGCTCACCTGCTGCCTTCCTCATTATTCCAGTGTCACCCCAAGGTGACACTGAGGTGGTTGTCACGGCACCTGTGCATGTTATTAGCCATGTGTAGTGGCATTGCACCCCTCAGCCTAAATCTTGAAACCTGTGTCTCGACTGCAGACAGACAGCGCTGCATGTGCAGTGGATGATGCAGCATACACCCTGATTTCTAAGCCTGTGACTTGCCTTTATTGAAAACTTGGTAAGAATAGGACTCAGTAGTAGCCTTCAGCTCATATTTTATCAAACTGAGGATTAAACACTGTCATCTTTGTTACTTTAAACTGCATTTTTTGGTAAACTTCTCTCACCCTTCCTCCTCCGCTTCCTTTCCTCCTTTTTCCTCCTTCTGCACTTCTCTCACATTCATACATTCTCACACATGCTCACACACACACACTTAGCATGCTCCCTCACACATACACACCCTTACACACACCCACACTGGCATGTTCTTCTGGAACTCCTAACATTTTCCTGTTGTGTGTGTGTGTCAGTATAAATTTACATCAAGACACACACACACACTTAAAAGAAATTGTGAATGCAAGTATTTTAAAAAAACTGAGGTTATCTAGGGTTTCTTGAAGTCAGAGATTTTGAAAGCATTAGTCCAGCTCTAAAAAACTTCTTTTTATCATTAAAAAAGAAAAGGAAAGCTGCCAGGATAGATTGTTTCTGCATTTCTCTTTTGAAACATGTCATAAATTGTGAAAAGAACATGGCGTTCAGGTCAGTAGCAGGGGCTTAAAGGGAATGTGGACTCAGTAGGAGGCTTTTGGTTTATTCCACGTTTCTGTGGGCCCGACAGAGAGCCTAAACCTTCTAGTCGATGAAATACCCAGGTGAGTGACTGTGGTGCATCCTTCTCCAGAGTTACTCCCTAAATCTATCCTGAGAGGTATTTATAACAAATGTTTGTTTGTGGCCAACTTTCAGTGATGTGTGATAAGACCAGGGAACCAGACTCTCATAATCCAGGAGTCTTTCATTACTCAGCTGTGAAATACGTCATGTTTTCAATTCTGCATTTGTCTTGTGCTGTATTTTTTTTGTAATCACTGATGTGAGAGGGTTTCAGCATTCCCCTAACTGGGAAGCAGGGCTGGAGTGGCACTCGGGGAATTTGGAGAACATGTTGTTTCTGTGAATCCTTAATCAAAGCCTATATATGCCATTATTATCATTGTAATGACCTCACTGAAACTCTGTTTTAATAGCGTTTTTTTCAGAGCCACATCTTTGAAAGGATTTCTCCAGAGTGAGCTCTTTAGCAGGGTGGGATGTCACATTTTTGTGAATTTCACGCGTGTTTCCCTCACACATGTGCCACCATGTTCTTTCCAGAAATCGGCCCTGCCTCTGTGATGGTGGGGAACCTGGTGTCTGGGAAGAGGATTGCGCAGGCCAGCGGCAGAGACCTTGGTCAGATAGAAGACAATGACCAGGCCCGGAAGGTGAGAGCAGAGGGCCAGCCTTCTCGGGGGGGCCCCCCACCCATAATCCTGATGCGGAACACTGGCTCCCACTTCCTGCCCTGCCAGCCCAGCATCTTCCACTGATCTTCCCCATTTTTGGTGACCTTTGCTTCCTACCTGCCCTCTTGGTTCTGCAAGAGATGCCCATATAATTTTTAAGGAAATGTGTTTATTAGGGGGTACAGTGTCATATAACATGTCACAGTGGCACAGAAGGGTAGATGACACAGTCCCACAACTGGCAGGCCTGGGGCCAGTGTCTGGGCAGCCCTGTCTGGTCCTAGTCCCCTGACCACTTGTTCCTAGCTTCCTGCCAGCCCTGACTGGGCACCAGACTGCCTCACAGTGACCTTATAGCAAAACTTTAGTCCTTTCATTGTACAAATGCAAGAAAGCATCAGCTCAAAACCAGATTTGGGAGCCAGATCTCCTTCAAGTAGCCTTAAGAATGTAGAAGTCCTTGGCCCCCCTCCACCACAGACACCTTACGACTTGTCACATGTGGCTGCAAGTCCCGTTATAACCCTTTGGCCTTGAGAACTCATGCACGTCACCAAAAGGTGGTCCCACTCTGTACAGCTACCAGGAAATGTGACAAAAGCAACCATTTGAAACATTGCAAATTAGGTAACATTAGTGATATGTCCATCGAAAGCAATGGTCGTGTCCCTCACTCCTGGTACATCCCTGTTAATAAGATGGACTAAGGGAATACATGGTGCTTCCTGGGTTCTGATGTGAGAGAGGCTGACCTTTTTACTAGGACTGAGTCAGTGTGATACACATAGTCTCTGTGATTTGTGGTGCCTTTGAGTGACATCAGGGGTGACCATTCTAAACAACACATTCATGAGAGCCCATGTTACAACAGGACAGAGCTGACTGCCATTGCAACCCAGAAATCACATGGTATCTTCCAGAAGCCCCAGGAGATGGTTTTTGTGTGTGTGTCAGCAGTTCTATCAGGGAATGAGGATGCACTTCTCTCATCTTGGGCAGATTTCAAAAAACTCCTCCAGGGGTCGCATCTGAACACTGAGCACCTGCATGTTCTGTTGACCACACCAGACAGGGCATCCTCATTCCTCTGTGGAGACACACCCTAAGACCGATTTAAATGTTGCAATGAGCCCCCAAACCAGGTGGTCTGGGCCTAACGTGTGTGCTTTGTTCCAGTTCCTGTTCCTCTCGGAAGTCCTGCAGTGGAGGGCTCAGACCACCCCTGACCACATCCTCTACACGCTGCTCAACTGCAGGGTGAGGCTGCCGGCTCACACTTGCTCCCTGGGGTGCCCCCCACACCTTCTGCTGTTTATCATGTTCCTGACCTCATCGTCTCCTTTCAGTCTTCATGAATTCCTTTTAGTTATTTATGTGTTGCTATTTTGACTGAGACTTCTTCACTTAAGGATTGATTTTAAATACAAGGGTTTACACATCTGTCTATGCATATATACATATATACATATATACATTTATATATTTTAGCAAATTTTTTGCAATATTTCTTCCCAAAATAAGTAATGAATGATTTCTGCCACCAAGAACAATTGCAGATTTATGGGATATCTGTCTTTATTATTATTACCAAACTATTTTTTTGTAAGTAAGAAGTTATATTTTAATTATAGACGTTCACTCCTAGGAATGAAAACCATTTCTATTTTATAAGTATAATTAAAATAGTTTAGTTAAGTTAAAATTACTTTAAAATTTGTGATGCAGGTCCCCGTCCGCTGACCCCTCATTTGCAGTCACCCACTAAAGGCAGACACTGGGTCTCAGGGAAATGTGCTCAGTGGAATGACAGGAAATCTGATGGGCAGGCTGTGGAGGTCAAAGCCACGGGCGTGGAGCAGGTGTGAGCCTGAGACCGAGTTCCTTTGAGATGTGTCTGCTGTTTCTGAGGCTTCTGATACGGAGGCAGCTACATCCTCATGTGAACCTCATGGGGCCACATCAGGTCCACACATCTGACTCCATCCCCGCCCTTTCCAGCACATGTGCACACTTACCACAAACACTCAACCCGGACCAAAGGTCCGAAACATCATTTCTGTGGTTTTCATAAGGGTATTTCCACTTAAGTCAGCCTTCTAGTTCATCACTATCCAATAGGAATATAACACAAGCCACCTACATAATTTTATATTTTCTAAAAGCAGTGCTTAAAAGGGCAAAAAGAAACTGGTAGAATTTCATTTTAATAATTTTACCTAATATATTCCAAAACATCACTTCAGCACTTGGCCCCACCACACTGCCAGTGCTTGCCATTGTGAACTCAGCTCTCTGATCACTGCTCCTTTAAGGTGGCAAACCACTAGGTTCCCGACGGAGCTCCTCTGCGTCTCTCTCCTCCACGACAGTGCCGCCTGCAAGATAAGAGCTGTGTACAAGATTTATGGTAGGAGGTTAGGACATACTTCCTTGCAAATCACAGAGAACTTATTCTTGGACCTTGTTTACATACAAAGAGCATCTGTTATTTTTTTAACGAAAACACAAGCCATTTCTTTTAACTTTCTTTTTTACTTGTAGCAACTTCTTTAAAATTTTGAAGTATAAATCCTATTTAGCTTTTGCTCTTTTTAGTTGTCATTAATTTAACGTAAAACTTAAAAAATGGTGGCAGATACACAGTCATTGACACCAAAATGGGTTGTCCTTCGATTAGGAACTGGGCGGTGGGTTACCCCTCTCTCCCACTCTGTCATGACAGTGTCCCAGACCTCTTTTAGGAACAGTCAGCCCCGAGTTCTCTTGTAAGAGTTTGTACGAGAACTCTCCGCTTCGATGGTAGGTTTCCATATGAAAACGCCAACTTTTTCCGTGAAGGTTGGTGACCACTGACCTGAAGATAAGCAGCGACTGCTTCAGGGACCCCTCACCCATAACACTTCATTTTTTCCTTAACAACAGGCATTTTGAGAAATGAAATGTGTAACTTCAAGTCAATGGTATTTCTCTAGAGCACAGGTGGCAAACACAAGGCCCGTGGGCCGAATCCAGCCCTCCACCTTATTTTATCTGGCCTGGCATCTTGCTTCGACCTGGTGGCAGTGCCAAGCTGTCCCTTAACTGTTATGGAGTAGTTACATTTATACAGTCCTAAAATTACATTCAGCCCTTTGAAGGCAACCATGAGGCTGATGTGGCCCCTGGTGAAAATGAGTTTGATGCCCCTGCTCTAGAGGTAAAAGGTAGGATTGAGACTCCCATAGAACAAGTGGTGATGGACAGTCTGAGACCAGATGTGACCTGTGTCCCATGTGGGCTCATGAGGTGGCGTCACGTTCAACCTCACAAACTGGGGGAGAGAGGAGAGGAGAAGAACGTTGTGTTTGACTAAACTTGATGTGGCCTCTTCCCAACAGGGCACTTTCTTCAGGGATTTTTGAGAATAATTTTCATTGGTCCCCAATCACCCATTGTGCTGACTCCAGCATGTGACAGGGCTTACTTGTTCATCGCTGTAAACCTTGTGAAATGGCAGACAGTGTTGGGAAAACTGAGAGGTTCCTCAAGATAAGGGACAGAATGCCAATTAAATTAACTTGTTGTAAGTTCTGATAGTGAGCATTTTCACAAACCAGAGTCAAAATACTTTTTCAGAAATGCTCTTGATTGCTGGTTGTGAGTCACCCGTGCCTCTCAAATCTCATAGACTTTTGCTATCACAGAAAAGAGGATTGTTCATAGGGGTTCAGTGCCAGCCCTCCAGAAAGTGGGCAGATATCAGTTCTAGAAGTTGAACAGCACAGACTGAGAGCTGCTGCTCGAAATCAGACAGCCACAGCACACAAACAGAGTCCCACATAACAGGAAGATCTGGCTTAGTGGGCACAGCAAGATGAACCTCCTCTGCCAGCACTAGCCCTGTGGCATCCTGCCACCCACCAGCAGTGCAGCTGATCCCTGTTCGACAGTCAGGAGTGCAGGACTGGCTTTCTTTCATGGCAGCTGATGTGGGAGCATCAGAGGAACAAGATGGTCCCCCCACCACAGGTTTAGGGGCCAGGTTGGTCTTGAGCTTCACTTTGAAGAGCTCAAAGGACATTGGAGTCGAGAGGAGTTTTTGGTGTTTTTTTATCTGGTTCCCACAAGTATGTGTGGTGTCTGGGAGTGAATACGCATAGGAAAGGTCCCTTGTTGGAGGTACGAGCTCAAATGTTTTGGCAGGGTTTCTGGACCCCAGTCTCATCCATCTCTGTGTTCACCTGGCTTTGCACCTTCTGCTCCTCCGCTCTATGTACCTGTTTCCATTTTCTTACTGTTTTTTTATTCCTTTAGAAGGAAAATCATTAGGGAAGGTGTGTGTGATGAGAAGGTTCGATTCAAAGAATGTAAGCTAAGCCTGTCCTCTGGGAGAGACCAGTCTCAGCTCAGCCAAAGGCACTGCTGGGCCATCTCTAGGACCCTGCATGCTGTTTTCAGGTTATCAGGGAGAATGCGCTGCATCCTGAAGCTAGGTGCAACCATCGGTTATTTTATGAATGTCTTTGGCAAACATCAAGTTTTGGTTTTTATACCCTCATACTTTATAAAGGGTTTTCCCCCTGGCCCCTCCCACTCTACCTCATGCAGGTATTTCTAACAAATGTGTAAGTTGGGGTGGACACTCTTTCTCCCCTCCCCCACCCCGACACGACCAGTCACCAGGTCATCACTGTCCTTTAACAACACTAAAGGCTGTCTGATTTCTCATCTCTTACCATGATCAGCTGCTCAGCCCACCTCCTTTTTAGACTTCTTCCTCCACATAGGCATTCAGGACCTGAACCAGGCTGTGGGTTTGGCCCCTGAAAGTGTTCTCTGTGTCTGGCCATTCTCTCCTGCTACCTTGCTCACTTCTCCCCTGGAGCTCCAGCCTAAATACGAGTGTCTGGTCCATTCATTCAAGATCATATCTCAGTTTCTGGTATCCTCCTGATGTGGATTTCCTGGACAGTTTGCCTGTTGTTTAAGGAAAGTTCTTCACTCTGTTATCACTTTAAGGAAGATTTCATCATAAAGAAGTAGTACTCAAATAGCTTATAGACAGTGATGTCTTCATACCTGAGCCTTCGTGCAAATGAACCATAGTGGTAACGTTCATCCGCAGGAAAGCTTTCTGCAGTTAGATGTATGTTCATAATTTGCAATTTACCCATACTTCTCTTTATAGTTTAAACTGTAAATCCCATATATTTCAACTACTGGTCTTTGCTAACAACCCCCTCTTATGGTATTTTTCAATTCAAATGTGTTTTCCATTTGTAGACGTGTAAAAAGTCTACATTAAAAATTTGACACTTAGTGTTTGCTTTTTGCCTTTCGGGTTGTTTGTTGTTTGACTTCTGTGACTTCGATGTGGTCTCTCATGATAAACACTTTTCGTTAGTATTATTTTCCATAGTACAAGTCCTGCAGGTTTAGTACTAATCGTAATGCCCACGGCAATTACACTTAACACCCAGAATTACTAGGTTAATTTTTTATACATTTACCAATTTTAAGTAATTATTTAAAAAAATATTTGTTGTCAGCACAAGTATATCCAGATGCATCTTTAGTTCTGTGTGTGCTGGCTAGTGGGAGGAAGGAGAGTGACTGCTGATGGTCTGGGGGCTTGAGTCAGTGGTGATACGTTCTGAAACAGACTGTGGTGGTGACATAACTTTGAGTATGCTAACAGAACTGAATTGTACATTTTAAATAAGTGACTTGTATGACTATATGAGCTAGATCTCACTAAAGCTGTTATGTTAAGAAAATCTGGCTTCCCTGCTTGTTCTTGCAACACTCAGGGTACAATAGCAAACTCGCTGACGTGCGTCCAGCTGCATAAACGAGCGGAGAAGATAGCCGTGATGCTGATGGAGAGAGGGCGGCTGCAAGATGGGGACCATGTTGCCCTTGTCTACCCTCCAGGTAAAAGGGCAGGGCCGGCAACTGCATGGGACCTATTGCTCACACTGGAGCTTGATGACTGGAGTTGCTGTATTTTCACCAAGAAATTGCTCACTTGTCTGGGTACTCTGCCACTTGCAGGAACTACACTGCATGCTGTATGCCTCTTAGGGGCATAAATGAAGTGATATTTCACAAAGACTTTTGTATCTAAACTTGTTTTATTAGATATCTGAGGTACTTACTTAATTAATTGTTGTTAAGACCTTAACTACTGAACTGATAATCATAAAGTTGAGTAATTCCTTAGAGAAATGACAGAAATTAAACTTAGGGCCTGCTTTGGCATTTTGTACCTAAAACAGCAGGCCAGCCCTGCCCAGGTAACTCAGTGGGTTAGAACATTGTCCCAATACACTGATGTTGTGGATTCCATTCCCGTCCCCATTAGGGCATGTGACAAAAAATCAACCAATGAATGCATAAGTAAGTGGAACAACAAATAAATGTTTCTCTCTGTCTCTCTAAAATCAATAAAATTAAAAAAACAAATACCAACAACAGGCCAAGTGGAAGTTACTGCTGAAGCGTAACAAAACCCCCAGGAGGAAAAAAGAATCTGTTAAGGTCTTTGTTGTTCACCTAACCTACCTTTTTCCAGACTAGTTTCTCTGCTGATAGGTTTGACAACCATTGAATGGTTTGATTGGTTTCAAGTGAGAACTGCTTTTCTTCTTGTTTAGGAATAGACCTTATTGCAGCATTTTACGGTTGCCTGTATGCAGGCTGTGTGCCAATTACTGTCCGCCCCCCACACCCACAGAATATTGCAACAACGCTGCCCACCGTGAAGATGATTGTGGAGGTAACACTGCCTGGAGTGTCTGGGCACTTCCTCCTGCCCTGGGCCTGAGGGTTGGGCTCGTGGACCAGAGCGGGGCCATCTGGGGAGGGGAGGGTTGTGGGATTGCACGAGTGTCTGAAACCCAAGTGATGGGGCCAGGCGTGGCCTCTACTTTCAGGGAGCTACCGTCTAGTGCTGGAAGCAAAAGCCCACCCACGCATGGAATTAGGGGTTAGAGGACAGCCTTGCCTTGATGCCTAGAGGAAGCAGCTCTCCAGACAGGGTGTCCCTATAGACATGCGGAGCTGCCCCAGCAAACCCAATGCACAAACCAAACTAAGTGAAACAATTTACACTTCTTTTGGAGTTCTTTCCTCGTGATTTGTAAGTGTCTTGTTTCTGTTTTAATTTTTTTGTGTGTGTGCCTGGAGAAATTTGAAAGGATTAGGAAAGGTTTTTCCCTTTAGAGAAAGAACCACAAGGGACAAGACAGTTTGGAGACCCCACAAGTGAATACTTTTTTTGTACTTAGGTTGGAGTACTTTCACAGTCATTACACCTGTTAGAAACTGGATGGTTTCTTGGTGGACATGTATGGCATTTCCAGTAGGGCAGCTAACAGTGTCAGCAAGTGAGTTCAGAAGCTTCATTCTGAGTGTGATCTCGCCCTAGATCCTATTCAGCTATAGAAATTTCCAGTGCCCATGAGCTTTGTGTGGCCTTCATGGTCAGATTCCTGGCTCTTTTGTACCCCCACTGGCCAACACTGGCTCCTCCTGAGGAGCCGTGTCCCTGGTAGTCTAACCTGCTCTGAAAGCCATGTGGCCTCAATACACATAGTGAGCAGATGCGTGCAGTGAGTATTCATCTGTGGTTTACCTTCCTTCCTCATTCTGTTCTGTGACCCTCAGGTGAGTCGCTCTGCCTGCCTAATGACAACACAACTGATCTGTAAATTGTTACGGTCCAGGGAGGCAGCTGCAGCCGTCGATGTCAGGGCGTGGCCCCCCATACTGGACACAGGTGAGTCCTTGAACTAGCTGGGTACATTTACTTCTCTGCTTTCCCACTGGGTCAGATACACTAATAGCTTCACTTTGCTCTCCAGATGATTTGCCAAAGAAGCGGCCGGCCCAGATCTACAAACCCTCCAACCCCGACACGCTGGCTTACCTGGATTTCAGTGTGTCCACAACTGGAATGTTAGCTGGAGTGAAGGTGAGAAATGCAGTCTTCCCAGTGTGTGTGAGCCCTCACAGTGATGGCTAGTTATGTCGTGTGCTGTAGGATTCTGGCGGGGACCTGCAGTGAACCATGGAGCAAGGCTTACGTAGGTGTTTCATCCAAGCTATAAAATGCATTGGCCACTTGCGTAGTTACTTAGGCTGACTGATTCTGTCCAAATATTCCAACGTACTTTTTTTTTTTAATGTAAACACCGCCTGACTAGCCCTTACTAAAAAACCATGCCTGTGTTTCTTTTTTAGTGGTTCTCAAATCCTAATTTTCTTTTGACTGTAAAACTGTGCACTATAATTTCTTGGTTTTTAACGCAGATTCCATTACGGTTTTCCAGATTGCTGCTCATTGCAGCTGCAATGGCCCCTTTTCCTCCCAAAGAATGAGGCTACTCTGTGTCCCCAGAGTTAGGGTCCTCCAAGCCCAGGTGAGGACCTTATCAAGGATATGTTAAATTTTCTGAAGCTTCAAGAAGCCCTTTCCCTCTTATGTGCCTCTGGGGTCTGACTGCTGAGTTTCCAAAGTTTACCACATTTCTCTTACTCTGTCTACTCCAGTTTTTCTTATGGTAGTAAAATACACGACATAAATTTACCCTCTTAGCCAATTTAAATGCACAGTTCAGTGGTATTAAATACATTCAAAATGTTGTGCTGCTATTACCCCTATCCATCCCCAGAGCTCTTTTCTTCTTGTAAAACTGAAACTTTGTCCCAATTAAATACTAACTCTCCACCACCCTCTCCCAAACCCCAGAAATCACCATTCCTTCTGTCTCTATGATTTTTGTACTCTACATTCCTCATATAAGTGGAATCATATAGTATGTCCTCTTGTGTCTTTCTTCACTCAGTATACTGTCCTCACTCATGTAGTAACATGTCTCAGAATTCATTTTTAAGACTGAATATTATTCCATTGTGCCTACACACATTTTGCCTATCCACTCATATCGGTGGACATTCGCCTTGCTTGCATGTTTTAGCTGTTATAACTAATGCTGCTGTGGATGTAAGTGTGCATGTATTTGAGACACTATTTTCAGTTTGGGGGTATGTACCCAGAAGTGGAATTGCTGAATCATATGGTAATTCTATTTGTAACTTTTTGAGGAACAACTGTACTGTTTTACATGATGTCTGTACCATTTTACCTTCTCACCAACAGTGCCCAAAGGTTCCAAATTCTCAGCATCCTTACCAACGCTTGTTTTATTTTAAAAGTAGGCATTGTAATGAATGAAGTTGTATTTCATTGCAGTTTTGATTTGCATTTCCCTAATGATTAGTGACAAAAAACATCTTTTCATGTGATTATTGGCCATTTGTGTATCTTTTTTGGAGAGATGTCTGTTCAAGTCCATTGCCCATTTTAAAATTGGTATTTTTGTTTTTTAGTTTTAGAAGTTTTCTATATACTCTGGATATTAATTCCTCATCAAATATGTAATTTGTAAATATTTTCTCCCATTATTTGGTTGTCTTTTTGTAGATAGTGTCTTTTGATGCACAAAATTTTAAAAATTTTATGAAGTTCAATTTTGTTCATTTTTTGTTGTTGTTGCTTGTGCCTTTGGTGTCATAGCAGAGAAAACATTGCCAAACCCATTGTCATAAAAATTTTGTCCCATGTTTCCTTCTAAGAGTTTATTATTTTAGGTCTTACATTTAGGTCTTTGATCCATTTTGTGTTAATTTTGTACATGGCATCAGGTAAGAATCCAACTTCATTCTTTTACCTGCAGATTTCCAATTGTCCCATTTGTTGAAAAGGCTCTCCTTTCCCCATCAGGTGGTCTTGGCAGACATGTAGAAATTGTTTGACTATATATAGAATGGTCTATTTTTAGGCTTTACAAAAAAAATTCCATTGTTTTATCTGTCTGTCTTTATGCCAGTACTGCGCCATTTTGATTGTTACAGCTTTGTAGTAATTCTTGAAATCAGAAAGTGTGGTGGGACCTCCAGCTTTGTTCTTCAAGATTGTTTGAGCTATTCAAGTTTCGTTAAAATTCCACATGAATTTCACAATGAGCTTTTTTATTTCTGTGAAAAACATTACTGAGATTTTGATAGAAATTGCATTAATCTGTGTTGTTTTGGGTAATACTGACATTTGCAGACATGAGATACGTTTTCATTTATTTATGTCTTCTTTAATTTCTTTCAGGAATGTTTTATAGTATTCATTGTTCAAGTTTTTAACCTCCTTAGTTAATTTGTAAATATTTCATTATTTTTTATGCTATTGTAATTGGGAACTGCTTTAATGACCTTTTCAGATTTTTCATTTAGTATATAGGAATGTGAGTGATTTTTGCATGTTGACATTTTTCTTGCTGCTTTGATGAGTTCATTTATGATTTCTAACAATTATTTTGTGGAATATTTAGGGTTTTTTACATATAAGATTATATCATCTATGAGCAAAGATAATTTTACTTCTTTCTTTCCGATACAGTTGCCTTTTACTTATTTTCTTATCTAATTGCACATGCTAAAAACTTCCAGTGTCATGTTGAATGGAAAGGGAAAGTGTGGGCATCTTTGTCTTGTTTCTTATCTTAGAGAAAAAGCTTTCAGTCTTTCACAGCTGAATACAATGTTTGCTGGTTTGTCATGTCTTGCTTTTGTGTTGAGGTACTTTCCTTCTATTCCCAGTGGGTGTTTTTATCATAAAAAGCTATTAAATTTTGTCAGATGCTTCTTCTGCTGCATCAAATGAGATGATCATGTGTTTTTTTCCCCTTCATTCTCTTCATTCTCTTAATGGTATGTATTACATTTATTGATTGTCATATGTTGAGCCATGCTTGCATTCTAGGAATAAATCCCACTTGGTCATAATGTATAAGCTTCTTATTATGCTGCTGGATTCCATTTGCTACTATGCTCACCTAGTATGTTGAGAATTTTTATGCTAATCTTCATAAGGCATATTGATCTATAGTTCAGTTTTCTTATAGTGGCTTTGTCTGATTTTGGTATCAGAAATGCTAACCTCATAGAATGAGTTAGGAAGTGTTCCCTTATCTTCAATTTTTTTGGAGAAGTTTGAGAAGGATTGGTATTAGTTTTTCTTTAATGTTTGGAAAATCACCAGTGAAGCTATCAGGTCCAGGGCTTTTCTTCATTGGAATTTTTTTTTTTTTTGCTGATTTTATATTTTTTTACAAATTACAGGTTTATTCTTATTTTGTATTATCATGATCTAGTCTTGGTAAGTTTTGTGTTCCTTCTTGATAGTTTGTGTATCAAATTTCATGAAATGGGATTTCTGTTTCATGCAGTTGTGTAATTTGTTGGTGTACAATTGTTTATAGTACTCCCTCATAATTCTTTTTATTTCTGTAGAATCAGTAAAATGTCCCAATTTTCATTCCTGATTTTAGCAATTTGAGTCTTCCCTTTTTTTCCACTTCTTCTAGCTAAATTTTTCTGAGATTTTCAAAGAACCAACATTTGTTTTCATTGATTATCTCTACTATTTTTTATATGTTTATCTTCCTCTAATCTTTATTACTTTCTTCCCTTCTGCTAACTTTCGGTTCAGTTTGCCCTTTTTCTCATTTCTTTTTTTCCTTTCTTTTTATATTTTATTGGTTATGCTGTTACAGTTGTCCCCATTTTCCCCCCTTTGCCTTCCCACCACCCTCTCAGGCAATCACCACACTGGTGTTCATTATCCATGGATCATGCATGTAAGTTCTTTGGCTATTCCATTTCTGACACTGTACTTTACGTCCTCATGGGTATTCTGTAACTACCAATTTATACTTTTTAATCCCCTCACCTCTTCTCCCATTCCCCAAACCCCACTCCCATCTGACAACCATCAAAACGCTCTCCATATCCATGGTTCTGTCTCTGTTGTTCTTGTTTGCTTAGTTTGATTTTTAGATTCAATTGTTGACAGATATGTATTTATTGCCATTTTATTTTTCATAGCTTTGATCTTCTTGTTTTTCTTAAATAAGTTCCTTTAACATTTTGTATAATAATAGTTTGATGATAATGAATTCCTTTAGATTTTCTCTTGTCTGGAAGCTCTTTATCTGTCTTTCAATTCTAAGTTATATCTTTGGTGGGTAGAGCAATCTTGGCTGAAAGTCCTTGCTTTTCATGGCTTTGAATATTTCTTGCCAATCCTTTCTAGCCTGAAAAATTTCTCTTCAGAAATCAGCTGCCAGTCTTATGGGGACTCCTCTGTAGGTAACAGCCTTCCTTAACAGGGAAACTGTGTTTCTCTTGCTGCTTTTAAGGTTCTCTCTTTATCTTTAACCTTTGGCATTTTAACTATGATGTGTCTTGGTGTGGACCTCTTTGTATCCATCTTGTTTGGCACTCTTTGTGCTTTATGGACTTGTATGTCTATTTCCTTCACAAAATTAGGGAAGTTTTCTTTCACTGTTTTTTCAGATAGAGTTCCAATTTCTTGCTCTTTCTCTTCTTCTTCTGGTACCTCTATGATGAAAATGTTGGAATGCTTGAAATTGTCTCAAGTATGTTTATACTGTTCTCATTTTTTTGGATTCTTTTTTCTTCTTGTTCTGATTGGTTGTTTTTTGCTTCCTTATGTTCCAAATCATTGATTTGATTCTTGCCTTTATTCATTCTATTATTGTTTCCCTGTAAATTGTCTTTATTTCAATTAGTGCATCCTTAGTTTCTCACTGGATCTTTTTTATGCTGTTGAGATTCTCACTAAGTCCCTTGAGCATCCTTATAAACAATGTTTTAAACTCTGCATCTGATAGATTTTGTTTAGTTCTTTTTCAGGATTTTTGATCTGTTCTTTCATTTGGGCCATGTTTCTTTCTCTCCTCATTTTGGCAGCCTCCCTGTGTTTGTTTTTATGTTTCAGGTAGAGCTGCCTTGACTCTGTATCTTGGTAACGTGGCCTAATGTAGTAGGTATCCTATAGGGTCCAGTGGCACAGCCTCCTCTATCACTCAAGCTGGGTACTCAAGGTATACCCTC